GGTGAAAGGAAACAGCGCGGCGGGGGGGGGGGGCTGGGGTAAAAATTTCAGCAGTTGCATTGAGTTTGCACACGAGAATCGAGCAATGAATGAAACAACTCGAGATAGAAAGCCACGAGAAAGTCAGGAGAGGCTCAGCTTCGTTCTCCCTTCCTCACGTAGTTATTCACAACTACATGCACAATATTTCCACCTCAATTCGCATTACTATTGAATCTGTCTGCGTGAAAAACTCTTACAGCCAACTGAACTGCCTCAGACACTCCGTTTGTGAACGCAAATGTTCTTTTTNTTTTTTTTTTTTTTTTTTTTTTTTTTTTTTTTTTTTTTTTTTTTTTTTTTTTTTTTTTTTTTTTTTTTTTTTTTTTTTTTTTTCAACCTGCGCTGGCTCGTGCTAAATGCGCAGACGCAGCACCCACGGGAGGGGCGTGGAGGGGAAGAGGGGAGAGAAACCGGGGCGGTCGCATGAATGAAACTCGCACCCACCTTGCTTCCACGTAACGCGCAGGCGCACCGGTGAATTTAGATGAATTGGTTTTTTCTTAATTATTTTGTCTCACAGTTTTCAATTTTTCCATTCGAGTTTCTGGAGGGAACAGGTGGGCAGGATTGCGGGCTTTGAGGTTAAGTTGTCGAGACCATGTGTCCTGTACTTCCGGTTGGGGTGCGTCGGGAGGGGGTGGGAGAGGGGGACAGGTGGATGCAGTGTTACATGAGCAGTTGAACGGCTTCATGCGATTTTTTGAGTCTTTTCCGTGAATGAATTTTCGTGGAATGAATGAATAAAGGATTTATTTATCGAATGGAAGCAAAAACTAATACAATATATCGAGACATTGGGTTTAAATCATTTCTAAAAGAAATTATTTAAAATTCAATTCATTCAGTACCTTTTTATTTTTTTGTCAAAAATTTCAAAAATTCAACATTTATAATAATACTTTAATACTTTAAATTAAATACTTTGAATACTTTATTTAATACTTTCAATTTTTTGTCAAAAATTTGAAAAAGTATTAAATGAATCGAATTTTAAATAATTTATTTTAGAAATTATTCGATCCCAATGGCTCCATACATTGATTTTTTTAATTTTTCCAAAAATCGGTTGTTCCACGATAACTAAAAAAAAAGTTTTGAATTCTTTGAACAATGACTTAAGAAATTTGTTTGGATGCCCTTTC